CGCTACATTATACGACAAATGCAAATTTATAAATGTATGTAGGTTCATATATTGCGATTTGTATATAATTTTCAAAGCTAAGCAGTTTTATTTTTCCTAGTGAATATCTTTGCCATTCTAAGGTTACGTTCGAAAACGTTACTCTTGAATCACACTGACTCCCCTTGCTTTTTCGGCGAGTGGTTTCGTGGCACACTGGTGGTACTCGTTCAACGTTTTCGAACGATTCACCCGAATGCACATTAAGTACCACTAACGTGTTTCCGAACGGTTATTGTGTGTTGGTGTGCACACAGTGTGTGTTTCCGAACGCAGCCTAAGAGTGTTGTCAGCATGTCTTACTACACTTCTGCACTTTAAGTATTGTAATAAAATTTTTTTACTTATAAAGAATAACTATTATTTTGTATATACACTATCTTTATTTGTCTCCACAACACGTTATATATATATATATATATATACATTTTACGACCGATATTAATTATATCAATGTTAATTAATATCATCAAAGCTGCGAGCTGACAGGTCTGTGCGCCGCCATATTAGAAATTAGAAAAGGAAAGACGTCTTTTAGAAAAAGAAATCTAAACGCATTAGTTGAGTGCGTTCTGATTGGTTGCGTGTTGACGACGCTGACCAATAAGACATGCGTGACATTCTAGCGTGACATCCGAGAAAAATAATGATTTTTTAGATTTCTCGACTTTGGATGCATATATCTTAATTTATAAAGCACACAGAGCAAAAACAAGCATACTTTCCTTATATATCTTAGGTATGCGCTTTCGATTGAGCCTATTACCAACTCAATCGGCCCAGCCGTTACTGAGATCCGATAATCTCGGCTCATCTGAACCTTCCGTCTCGCGTAAAGATACACGGTCGGTCTTGCGCTACGCGTGAACTTGGCGCGAGACACTACCATGTCTCTTGATATCATTGTTAAATATTAATTACTGTATTATCCTTGCGTTCGCCTCTTACTCCGGATTCTCAACGTAACATAAAAGAACTGCACCCCTCTGCCATATACTGAGCGAGGAACGGCCGGACATATTAAAAGAATTATTGAAGTTACCGTTATCGCGGTGCGATTACACGCACCTGGCGCCCATTCCCGGTTACCGATTTCGTCGGGTTATCTCTGCTATCGAGTTACCGAATCGTGCATTTGTTGCCGATATCGCGTGAGTTACCTAGCTGCCGAAATACGTGGAGTACCGCGAGTTACCGAGTCGTGCATTTACTGCCGACACCGCGTAAGTTATCTAACTCCCGAAGAACGTGGAGTACCGCGGGTTACCGACTTCCATTGGGCGTGCTCCCTCGGATCTGGCATGATTCCGAGGCTAGTTCACGTCGCAGGCAATATCCGGGAACTAAACTTTTGATTTTTTCTGTCTATTATACCAATACCAAACGCATAGATAGATAAGCAAAAATTATTGATAAGAGATTTTTTTAGATTAAGCTTCTAATAATAAGTTTTCCAGCAAACCAATATGTATCTGTTACATAACTCCAAGAGCACATTTAGAGAACCAAGTAATATTTCTATAATTATGTATATAACTTATAACATTTCTCTTAATATGGCGTATGTAGTACTCTTGAGACATATCACCTATGTAACATTCTGTATTTCTTAATAATATCACAAATCTTATCTTACAGATACGTCTTTGTAATGTTATTACAGATATGTAACCAATATAATTTTTTTTTGCAACGCGCACGCGCGAGTCACGTGTCATTATACTCATTGAGTCAGCAATCTTCATTTTTATTCTTGTAGTGTTCGTACTTGACCTAATTTTATTACATTTGGACACGACAGTTTGTCAATTAGTGGCCATTTTGTGTATAGCAATTAATCAAAAAGGAAGAATTGATAGAGTCCTTTGATAGAGATTTACATACAAATTCATCAAAAATGATTTGATAATAACAAGAGTTCAACAAGAACAATAACCATAATAACCAACTAGATTAATAAAGGCACTCAAGCTAATTCCGAAAACTGTATACTATGATAAAGGTGTAGCATATATATTACAAACTTGTTTGAAAATATATATGATATATGTATAGTACATACGTATAGTACGTACGTAATACATACATACGTATAAGTATGTAAAATATATGTACATGTTACATTACATTTTTAAAAAAAGGTAAAAAAAAGGCGCCAAGTGCACGCTCTTGTCATAACTAAAACAAAACAGTATTGTTTTACTTTTCAAAAAAATTGTCGTATATATTAAATCTTTCAAAAAAACCTGTCGTATATATTAAAATTTTCAAAAAAAGCTATCCTATATATTTCTTACAAAAAAATATGATATCAGGAAATGGCACCAAGTGGGACTAAAGAACTATGAAAAAACTTGTACACTATTTCTATAAAACTCTTCTATAAAACTCTTGTACATAAAGCTGTCGTATATATAATTAATTATATTATATACTGTATTTTATCATAAAATATAGTATATAAATAAAAATATTTAATAAATATTTAAATATATTTAAATATTTAAATATTTAATAAAAAATAAAAATATTTAATTAAAAAATTAAAAATATAAAAATTTAATCTAAAATAAAAAAATATTTATTAAAAAACG